TTGGAAATACTGAAAACCAAAGGAAATTAATAAAATTGAAGTGAAGAAAACTATTGAACTAATAAATAAAACTAAGAGCTGGTTTTATGAAAAAGAAAACAGTAAAATAGACAAACCTTTAGTTAATTTAATTAAAAATAGAAATAACAAAAAAAATTACCGGCATCAAAAATGAAAAGGGTAAATCCACCAAGGAAAAGGAAATTAAAAATACAATTAGGAACTATTTCACCCAACTGTATGCCAATAAATTTGACAATCTTAGTGAAAATTGCCCAGATTAACAGAAGAGGAAGTAAAATACTTAAATAACCCCATCTGAGAAAAAGAAATTGAACCAGCCATTGATGAACTCCTAGGAAAAAGTTCCAGGGCCAGACGGATTTACAAGTGAATTCTATCAAACATTTAAAGAACAATTAATTCCAACATGATATAGGCTATTTGGGAAAATAGCCCAAAAGGAGTTTTATCAAATTCTTTTTATGGTACAAATATGGTGCTGATAACTAAATGGGGAAGAGTGAAAACAGACAAAGAAAAATCTAAACCAATTTCCCTAATGAATTTAGATGTAAAAATTTTAAATAAAATATTAGCAAATAGATTACAGCAAATTATCACCAGAATAATATACTATGACCAGATAGGATGTATACCAGGAATGTAGGGCTGGTTCAATATTAGAAAACGATCAGCATGATTGATCATGTCAACAACAAAACTAACAGAAACCACATGATCATCTCAATAGATGCAGAAAAAACTTTTGAGAAAATGCAACACTCATTCCTATTAAAAACATTAGAAAGCATAGGAATAAATGGAGTCTTCCTTAAAATAATAAGTAACATGTACCTAAAACTTCCAACAAGCATCATATGTAATGGAGACAGGCTAGAAGCATTTCCAGGAAGAGCAGGGGTGAAGCAAGAATGTCCATTATCACTGCTATTGTTCATTATGGTATTGGAAATGTTAGCTTTTGAATAAGAGAAGGAAAAGAAATTGAAGATATTAGAATAGGCAAAGAAGAAACAAAGCTATCACTCTTTGCAGATGACATGATGATGTACCTAGAGAATCCTAAAGAATCAAGCAAAACACTGCTTGGAATAACAAACAACTTTAGCAAAGTTGCAGGCTATAAAATAAACACACATAAATCATTAGCATTTCTATATATTACCAAAAATGCCCAACAGCAAGAGACATAAAGAGAAATTCCATTTAAAGTTACTGTAGACATTATAAAATATTTAGGAGTCTACCTCCAGAAACAAACCCAGGAACTATATGAACACAATTACAAAACACTTTCCACACAAAGTCAGATCTAAATAATTGGAAAAACATCTGTTGCTTATGGGCAGACTGAGCTAATATAATAAAAATGACAATTCTGCCTAAAGTAAATTATTTATCCAGTGCCATACCAATCAAACTACCAAAAAATTATTTTATAGAGCTAGAAAAAATAATAACAAGATTCATTTGGAATAATAAAAGGTCCAGAATATCAAGGGAGCTAATGAAAAGAAATGCAGGGAAAGGTGGCCTAGCTGTTCCAGATATTAAATTGTATTATAAAGCAGCAATCATCAAAATTGCATAATACTGGCTAAGAAATAGAATATTGGATCAGTGGAATAGGTTAAGTATGCAAGAAACAGTAGTCAGTGACTATAATAATCTATTATTTGATAAACCCAAAGACCCCAGCTTCTGGGATAAGAACCCACCATTTGATAAAAACTGCTGGGAAAACTGGAAAAGAGTATGGCAGAAACTAGGCATTGACCAAAATCTCACACCACATACCAAAATAAAGTCAAAATGGGTTCATGATTTAATGTAAAGGCTGACACTATAAGTGAACTGGGAGAGCAAGGAATAGTTTACCTATCAGTTTATGGAGAACAGAAGAATTCATGACCAAACAGGAGACAGAGAACATTACAAAATGCAAAATGAATAATTTTGATTACATTAAATTGAAAAGTTTTTGCACAAACAATGCCAATGCAACTAAGATTAGAAGGAAAGTAGAAATTTGGGAAAGAATTTTTACAACCAGTGTCTCTGATAAGGGCCTCATTTCTAAAATATATAGAGAATTAAGTCAAATTTATAAGAATACAAGTCATTCCCCAATTGATAAATGGTCAAAAGATATGAACAGGCAGTTCTCAGATGAATAAATTAAATCTATCTAAAATCATATGAAAAAAATTCTCTAAATCATTATTGATTAGAGAAATGTAAATCAAAACAACTCTGAAGTACTACATCACACCCATCAAATTAGCCAACATGAGAAAACAGGAAAATAATAAATGTTGCAGATGTGGGAAAATTGGAACACTAATGCATTGTTGGTGGAGTTGTGAAACGATCCAGAACACTTGGAACTATGCTCCAAAGGCTATAAAAATGGGCATACCCTTTGATGTAGCAATAGCACTTCTAGGACTGTATCCCAAAGAGATCATACAAATGGGAAAAGGACCCACATGTACAAAAATATTTATAGCAGCTCTTTGTATGTGTGTGGTGGCAAAGAATTGGAAACTGAGGGGTTGCCCATCAATTGGGGAATGGCTGACAAGTTGTGGTGTATGAATGTAACGGAATACTATTGTACTCTCAGAAATGATAAGCCAGTGGATTTCAGAAAAACCTGAAAATACCTCTACGGACTGATGCTGAGTGAAGTGAGCAGAACCAGGAGAATGTTGTACACAGTAATAGCCACGTTGTGTGATGACTAACGATGATCGATCTACCCCTTCTCAATAATGCAAGGATCTAAGATGTCTTCAAAGGTCTCGTGATGGAAAGTGCTATCCACATCCAAAGAAAGAACTATGAAATTTGAATGCAGCCTCCTTCTATTATTAAGTTCCTTCTGGGGCCACCTTTCTTTCCCCTCCCTGCTCTCCTTCTGATTCTCTGGCCATCAACTCAGTGCTCCAAATCATGTCTTATCAATCTTTCACCCTGTTCAGCTTCCTTTTCTGTGTTAATTTCTCTCATTAGATTGTCAGTTTCTTCAGGGCAAAGACTATCTTTTCGCCTGTGTCTGTATCCTCATTTCTTAGCACAGTGCCTGGCATATAGTAAACACTTAATAAATGCTCATTGCTTTATTGCCTTAGCATTTAAGCAACTAGAATACGAAAGAAAAAGAGACACCATAATGGACAGGAGCTAACAAATTTCTTCACCCTGCAAGATGGACTAGGCCTTGGTATTCATTCTTCAACCCTCCCAAGTCTGACCCTCTAATTGGAGGTTGGAGCCATCAGCTCCTGAGCCTTGATGTGCAGAGGGACCCCTGCACAGGCATATGACTCCTTTGGACTACTCTATCACGTGACTTAGGTGATACGTGTATAGATCACTAGGCTTGGAATCAGGAAGACTTCATGAGTCAAATCCAACATCAGACACTAGCTTGGTGCCCCTGGAGACGTTACTTAAGCCTGCCTGCCTCAGTTGAATCACCTGTAAAATGAACTGGAGAAGGAAATGGCAAGTCACTTCAAGATCTTTGCCAAGAAACCCCAGAACAGGGTCACAAAGAGTCAGATATAATTGAAAAGACTGGGCAACAACAAAATCATATGCCCAAACCAAGGTACCTTCTCCCCAAAGTTTTATCAGCTTCCTTTTGCATTGACTTCCCCCATTAGATGGTAAGCTCCTTAAAGGCAGGGACTAACTTTTAAAATATTTTTGCCAGGGAAAGTACTATAAGGGAGGGTTACTGGAAATTTATTATAATATTAGCAAAACATAATATATGAAATATCCAAAACTATATTTTTTTTGGCTAGGCAATGGGATTAAACTCAGACCCTCCTGACTCCAGGGTCGGTGTTCTGTCCACTGCACCATCTAGCTGTCCCTCCCAAAATATTAAAAAAAAAAATAATGAGCATTCTTTGACATGGGCTTTGTGAGGGAAACATAGGAACTACAATTATTTTCCAACATCTTGATGAACTAAACTTCCAACTCCCTGACAGCCCAACAATAGAAAGTCTCCAACTGCTAGTGAAGCAGAAATGAAAATATAACAACCTGTGCAAGGACATATTAAGATGCGTGATCTTCTCTACTGTTGTAACAGCAAGCTCCTGTCCTTGGATAAGACACCCTGCAGCTTAGCCTAAAGGACTGTTTTCACAAATGTAAAAGTATTTGGTCACTTTTCCTTGTCTCTTGCCTTTGAACAGGGAATATTTTCCTTTTCTGATAATACATGCTGTTATTACATTCCAAATACTCCTCTTTCTCTCCTGAATGATCCTTTTTTTTTCAATACTCCTCTTTCTTCTATTTCTTTACTTATCTAGCCTAAGTTTTGACAGAATTCTGTTGACTGGTTGTTTACTCTAAGTGAACCTGAAAAGTTGTAAAAACCCAGTCTATACCCTGAAAATTGAACCTGCTATTCAGAAAGAGTAGCCTTCATTAGCTTGCTATTAAATCTCTTTGCTTTCAGTTTGGTCTCTTGTCTTTCACCAAGTCATCAGATTCCTCTACCAGGAGGTCCTGTTCCTCTTGTTCAAGATGATTTCACAACACCATTCTTATCCTTCAAAACTAAGACTCCGCTGGGTTTCTTGTTCCCCAATAACAGAAGCCACAAACTTGTAAGCAATACCTACCTCATCACTCTCTTCTTTTCTGCAGTCATTCTTCACTCACACTCTCAGTCCATACTGCCTGCCATCATCAGTTACTGAAATTCTCTTCTTGTTCTTGAGTTTAATTTTCCTTCTATCTGAATTTCTCACCCAAAATGATTCCAACTCACTCCCCAATGTCAAGCTTGCATTTTGATTTATCCTCTTTTTATCTCAACAGTCACCTCAATCTTGCTAACAGAATAAAAGGTCATTCAGCAAAGAGTGTCTTCTTCAATCACACCTGAAGCTACACCTTCTTGTGCAACATTCTCCCAATGAGAAACATTACAGTCTATGACCTACCTCTTCTCTATTCTTGAACACTCAACCAATGATGTGGACTTGCAACTCCAGATCCCAAGCATCTGTATCTGAATGTGTCCAAAAAAGATGAAGGTCACAGGCATATTGGTCAGGCAGAGTATGATGTCCTGAATCAAATCAGAGAATTTTTTTCAGCATCTACTGTCATTATTCACTGTGCTCTGACCATGTTTGTTGTTGCTTCTAGAATCTTCTCTAGTTCCACCTTGTACCTGTATATGAATGATACTTCATGCAGAAAAGAGTCCAGGAATTGAAAAAAGATCACAAGGTCTCAACATGGGCCCTTTGTATTTTACTGGATCCAGGAAGAAGAAACCTCTACAGTTTGGAAATAGGTCTTTGCAGTCTGAGGAAAAGAGCTATCTGCAGACACTTACCTCTTTATTGGATATCTCTCCATCTGGGCACTGGACACAATCAAAGCAGCAGACAGGCTCTCCCACTGAACCCAGAACTACAGTGCTCAGTGCACACAGAAGTGAGAACCTGAGAAGAGACAAAGATGGGAAGGAAATAGAGAACCTCAACATAGCCAGGAGAGGGAGAAGGGCACTGTTCTTTGAATGCAGATGATGCCAGTTTGGGACAGGCAGAGCACTACCTTTACAGAGGAAATATAAGAAGTGGTTCATTGGTCTGCATGTCTAGAAATATCACAGCGAACTATAAGGTAAGGCTGGTGCAATAATATTTACATAAGACTTGGAAGTTTGGAGAACTGGGTCCCTTTCTAGATATTTTATCAACATTTTGTTGCAGTACAACAGCCAGATATGTTTGTAGTTTATGCCCTTCTCCATCAAGAGGTGTGGGACTTAAACAGAACCTCTGCATTTTCTAAGAGCCCATTTTCATGAACCATAAAGAGCATGGATTTGGATGCATTATTTATAAGGTCTTTGGGAAGGAAAGCTATGGCAAATCTGAGCAACAGATTAAAAGCAGAGCCATCTCCTTGTTAACAAAGGTCCATATAGTCAAAGCTATGGTTTTTCCAGTGACAACGTATGGTTTTGAGAATTGTTCTATATGGAAAACTGAATTCCACAGAATTGATACTTTCAAATTGTGGTGCCAGAGAAGACTTTCGAGAGTCCCTTGGACAGCAAGGGGGTCAAATCAGTCAATACTTAAAAAATTAATTTAGATTGCCCCTGAAAGACAAAATCTTGAAATTGAAGCTTAGTACTTTGGCCACAGAATAAGAAGGGGGGACTGTTGGGAAAGATTTAATGTAAAAGGAAAGGGGGACAACAGAAGATGAGATGGGTTGATAGTGTCATGAAAATAATGAACATGAACTTGAAAAGACTTTGAGAGATAGTGCAGGATGGAAGGGGCTGGTGTCCTTTGGTCCATGGGGTCACAAAGAGTCAGACACTGCGAAACAACAACTAGCTCTAAAAATCAGGGATAATCAATGCAGTAATTTGAGCCATTTAGATTTGTGATCACAAAGGTTGCTGCATGAAGGTCAATAGCTTGAGAAGAGTTTTAATCTACTTCGGCATAGGGTAAGTAGTCCACAGAAAGAAATAGATGCCTAAAATTACTACTCAGTGTATTAAAATTGGGTCATCCTGGAGACCAGAAGATGTTGGAGTCAGAGGAAGCTTTGGAATCATTCTCACATGTAATCCACAAAGATCTAGAAAATGCATACGACTGAATTCTGGCTGCAAAAGTCAAGAAAAAGTACAAGTCATTTTTCATTTTAGGACAGAATTGAAAGTTACATTGACTCAGTGACCCACTGTCCTCAGCCCTGTTTGTCAGTCAGTGTTACAAAAGGCTCTATTGGGGAAGGTGACACCAAGTCTGCAGCTTTTTATATGATCTAATCTGCACCACATTCCCCCTTCCTGGAAATTGTCGTGTACTTTGCTACCTTGGAGAGGAACTGAGATGCAAGGTCCCAAACCCTTTGGCTGATGTTGACCTATCTGAGTTGTCTTTATCTAATTAAGAAAGTTCTCAATAAAGGCTGGCCCCACCTTGAAGCCATTGATGATCTCCAGTGATCAATCTGTCAACATGTTGCTACTTTGACATACTTATAATAAACTTCTTCAACTCTCTTTTTCCTGAGTTTTCCCTCTTTGATCAAGGTGAAAATCCAAACTAAAAATTTTCCTTTTAACAAATGGTGAAGACAGACCAGTAATTTTGTGGGTTTTCACTTATGATTCTAACTGTGGGCAGTGCTGCCCCACTCCTGTAAGCCAGAATTCAGGCCTTGCTTGAAAGTGGGCAAGAGTAAATCCCAGCAGATTAATTAAGCAGGAAGTGCAGCGAATTTACCTCCCCCAAACTCAAGACAGTAGGAAGAAATAGGTCCCAAAATTCAAGTTTTATTTTATATGTTTTTACTTACTCATGAATAAAGGAAGATAAAATAAAAAGAAAGCAGATGAGGCAGGTGGATAAAGGCCTTGCATGCATTTGCATGAGAATATTGGTATTCAGTGAGGGAGCTGGACTTCCAGGGAATCAAACTGTAATAGTTCAGCAAAATCCTGCCAGTTAAGTCCATAAGTCAGAGATAAGGGTTGATAGGGACTGGAAAAATTACAGGGGTAAAAAGAAAAAAAAAACATTTGGGCAGAAAAGCGATGTGGCATTTGTATTTGGTCACATGCACATTTGAATCTTGACTCAAGTTTCCTTAAAGATGTTCTCATTGCTTAAAGGGTTTCTGAACAAGTTTTACTGTAGATGACTTGATTCATATAAACTGTTCTCTGTATACAATTTGGGATTATTTTATTTACATGTCCCATCCCCAGATTTTTGTTGTTGTTATTGAGCACTTTTGCATCCAGAAATGTCATTTCATTGAAACACACAGTTCTCTCATCTTGCTGTACTCATGAGGCAACTGGTTGTCACAGGGCTAGTACCTGGGACCTGCAGCCTAAGCTTGAATGCTGCACTGACTCACTAACTGGGTGAGTTTGGGCAAGTCACTTACCCTTTATCTACCTCAGTTTTCTTATCTGTAAATTGATAGTAATCTTAGCATCCACATCACAGGGTTGTTGTGAGCATCAAATGAAATAAAAGATTCTATACAAATGCTAGTTGTCCTTATCATTGTTGTTGTTACAAGTGAAAAGACCCCCTAGGAGATCATTGCTTCTCATGCACTAGCAGCTATTTCAAAAGATGACTGTCTAGGTAGAGAAATCCTAGGAAGAGTTTGATAGCAGTATGGTATGATGGAAAGGGTGCTACCTTTGGAGTCAGGGGACATGGGTTCAAATTCTTCCTTTTCCATTTTTAATTTCTTCTGTTATGAAATGAAAGGGTTGGAGGAGACAGCCTGAAAGGTTCCTTCCAGCTCTGGGTCTATAACGACAGCATAAGAGGGCACTGAAGCATGCTCAGATCACCTAAGATGGAGGTACCCATGGGGGTGACTCTGACCAATCTCACTCATGGCAGGGGCATCATGCAGTGAACTGGAAGGAGAAGGACCACCCAAGAAATGGCCTTGGTTCGATTTCCCTTTTCATTTGTACTTACATAGAGGAGAGTCTCAGACTCTGGAGCTTGTGCCACAGAGAAGTGGGTTTCCAGGATTTAAGGTTGGGAATTGCCGAAAGCCTGGTAAAGAAATCCTAAGAAGCCACATTTCTGGAACATAAGCCAGTCCTGCCCTTGTTATGACTGTGGTACAGTTATCCCTTCCACATCGTAGGAGTTAGGGGCAGGCGTCCTTGTGAACCGAAAAATCTTTGTAAAATTATGTGCCATTTGCTGGCTTTTGCATTCTTTTTGCAAACTTTAACTTTTTGCTTATTTTAACTTAAAAAAAGAAAGTATGTATATTTATGGTATTAAATGATAAATATGTTGATATTATAAAATACCATGTATATATTTTATGCATTTCAGAGTTTCTAAACTTTTTCTGTGCCATCTACTGGCTCCCATGTGTTGTCTGTGGCTTCTTCAAAAATCCCCCAAAATTGCCATTTAATTTCTTATGCCAATGTGACCCTATGACATATCAGTGGGGAAAGTCACTATGTGAAAGGGATAACTAGTACTTGGTTAGACAAATGCTATGTAGGGAGGAAACTAAGGTGTGAATCTAAATCCTCTATTCTTCCCCAGAGACTAAGGTGGTGAAGAAGGGCTCTTGATTTGTTGATAAGCTTTGGGTTCCTGTAATGTAATCCCTTGTTGACAATACAAGAAAAAGAATTTCAGCACTAGGTTAAGCCTTTACACTCTTTGCCCTCAGAAAGCTTACAATCCAAGGGGTAGAGTCCACACACATGGGGAGTGGTGTCAAGGGAGGGACACTTGGATTCCAAAAGTTACTGGGATTTGTGAAGGAGCCTTAGAAGAATAGATTGCCAAGCCCTAGCAGAAACATCCTGATCTATGTCTTGCCACTGAACCCATATGGCTCTGGAATAGACAGGTGACCTTGCATAGCCCTGCCTCATTTAAATCCAATTCACTTGCATGTCAAGACATCACCATCTTGATGTAATTATTTTTTTTTCAAGAAAGAAAGGCAAACAATACTCTATGACTAGTAGTAGCTTCCCCATTGGGGACATAATTGGCCAGTTCCCATTCAACAATGCTGCTCCCTCCTTCCTTCTTTCCTTTCTTCCTTCCCTCCTTTCTTTCTTCCTTCCTTCCCTTCTTTTCTTCCTTCCTTCCTTCCTTCTTTCCTTCCTTCCTTCCTTCCTTCATTCCTTCCTTCCTTCCTTCCTTCCTTCCTCTGTCCACTTAGGGAATCATGTATTTACATGTGGGTGCTCTACCTGAAGGAATGTTGATATCTTGAAATAGAGCTCTGGAAAAACCAGGCTTTGGTAAGGCCCACTGGAATTCAAATGTAATTCAAATGCCTTAAACCTAAAAGAAAGTCTGGCTTTCACTGATTGGCCAATAATAAGTCCCAACCCAAACCTCTGTTGGTCATTGTTTGGGTTTTGATGGCTCATAGTGAGTGTAAATAACAATTGTTTCTGTTACGGCCATAAACCCTGAGGTTCTTCCTCTCCCAGGTTGCTTTTTTTTTATTGG